GTTTAACTGAGTCAGGAAGTCTCAAAACAAAGTTTTGAACTACCCTAATCAAAACAAGATGGAAGCAGGACAAGTTCCAACTGGTTAGAACCAAGATGGGGGAGAAATTGACCACTTCCTGACCTTACAGCTTCATTATAAACTTCATTACCATAAAAGTCTCTAAGAAAACCTCCCACTCCCGTAATGCGCCTGACCCCATGACACTTCCTGTTTGACCATATTTAGTCAAAAGTAGACAGTACCCTAATTCCAGGAAAATACGGTCCCTTTCCAAGAAATAACCTGAGTATTCTTCCCCTTGTTTAGCCTATAATTAAGCTGTTGCTTAAATAGAGGGGCTAAAGGAACCATGCGGCTGGTTCTTCTCTGCAGGGAGCCCTGGCCTCTCTCTGTGGGGTAGATTTTCTATACTTCTTGGATAAAACTTGCTTTCACTTTATACTGTCGACTCGCTTCTGAATTATTTCTTGCAGGAAGCCAAGGATCCACTTGGACTTCAAGTGGCTCCCAGCATTGGGACCCACTTTCCCGTGCCAGTCTGTGCCCACATGGTGCCGTTGCAGCTCCAAGAGAGGCGCAGAGACTGGAGGTGGAAGAAATGGCGGCACCCCACCATGTCCTTTTTCCATAACCTTGTTCCCCTGTGTGCACACACGTAGCTATCTAAACTAAAAATAATTAAAATTTAAAATTCAGTTCCTGGGTCCCGCCAGCCACACTTAAAGTGCTCAATAGCCGTGTGTGGCTGGTGGCTCCTCTACTGGGCAGCGCAGACAGAGAACATTTACTCATCATGGAAAATTCTGCTGGACAGCACTGCCCTAGAGAAATAATGCTTTAATGTTAGACATTGGGCCAATATGATATTGAAATCATATGCAATCATCCTTTTTCCTTATTTCTAAGTTTTGGATAATTTTTCTTAATAGTACACTTCTACGGTAACTTTATTAAAGGCAAAGCTGCAGGACTAGATAGACTGTAAACCTCACGACATCAGAGACCGAGGCTTTGCTCTGTCATTATCCTTGGCACCTAGTGCAGGGCTTGACACAGAGCAAGCACTCAACAATAGGTATCTGTTAAGTGAGTGAATGGATGATGTAGAATTTAATGGGCAGCAGACCCTGTCGCAGTGACTTCCTCGGCTTGGCTGTCAGTGAGTACACTATCATCACACCCAGCTTAGCCAGTTCTGAGGACCAAGGGGAGATCAGTAGCAACCGTGCCTCTCCCAGGCTCTGACACCTGTTCAGGAGGGAGGCACTCAACATGAACTTTCCTTTCCAGAAATAATTTCCTTCCTTTCTTGAAATCATAAAAAGTTATCGCAAATAGAGAAAAGTTCCCTCGATCATACAGCCTGATAATAGCATTTCTGGAACCAGAAGTCCAACTTTACCAGCAACAGTATTTCTTGCTGGTGACTACCAAGTCACTCTATGTAGGGCCAGCTGAGACAGAGGGCAGTAGCCATGTTGAGGGAGGAGACGTCCCAGGGACTTTAATTCCGATAAGTGCCAGGCACTGCTACTACAGAGACTGTCAATCGCTCCTGCCCTCCTAGGAGCTTACAGGCAGTGCAGCCAGCTCACACGTGTACCTTTGGTGACAATTAAAGGACAATTTTAAGAGAGAAGTACAAGACACACAAAGTACACAGAAAGCCCGAAGGTGGAGTGTCTGCTGGGACAGAAGGGACAGAGAGGACAAAGTCCAGGCATCATGGGTTGGCCATCTTTGGGGTTTCCAACTCCCATCCTTCCCACCTGAGTTCCTAAAACTCAGAGGAATGGTAAGTAGATCTGATAGTGTGTCCTTGGAAAATAGAGATGATTAATGTGGGGCTGAGCTGTGGCAGCGTGCCAAGTTCTACAGTCCCCCAGGCCTAAGGAAAGCAATGTCCAGAGAAGTTTCCAGGAGGACCGAGGAGGCTGGCCGGTCTGGGGATGAGGTGTTGGAAGCATGTGGCAGAGCTCTGTGGCCACGTCATGTATGTTTCGTAAAAGCCTAAACCTGATTCCATAGGTATGTGGGACTGTCAAAGGGTTTCAGGGGATATTGACCCGAGTGTGCTGTAGGAATATTACTTTACAAAAACGTGAAGCAGGAGGAACAGGAGTCTGGGAGAACAGCTAACTCCTATTTAAAAAAAAAAAATTGTCAGACCAATAATTGATGACAAGCAGTTTTATTTCCAATTTGTCTCAAGGGAAGAGGCCTCTAAGCAGTCTCATTCAGAAATTCCCTCTTGACAAAGATAATTTGTAGGAAGAAGGGATGGTTAGATAATCATTGCTTGACTGGATTTTTCAAAATGACTGGTGAAGGGTTATTAGACTGGTTAGAGATCACTGGGCTCCTCCTAAGACTATCAACCAGGGGTGGCTCCCAGAAGGACTCTTAAGCTCATTAAAGAAAGCCAATCATTCATTTTAGCAGAAAGGCTAATTTCTCACTGGAAAGCTTAACTCGTGATAACAGACTGCAAAGTGCTGCTCTAGCTAAGGGGTTTTTATTTTTTTTAAAGACTTTATTTTTTAGAGCAATTTTAGGTTCACAGCAAAATTGAGAGGAAAGTACAGAGATACCCCATATACACCCAGCCCTCATAAATGCATAGCTTCCCCCATTGTCAATGTCCCCCACCAGAGTGGTACATTTGTTACAACTGAGGAACCTATCTTGACACCTCATCACCCAAAGTCCGTAGTTTACAGTAGGGTTCACGCTTGGTATTACATACTCTAGGGGTTTGGACAAATTATAATGATACGTAGCCACCATTATCATATCATACAGAGTATTTTCACTGCCCTAAAAATCCTCTGTGATCATCTTGTTAGGGTTTTTGAACCATTGTTTTCTTGTTCATCCCCACAGTGAAACAGCAGGAATCTGTTGCATCTTATCTAAATTCTCACCATCGTATTCCACCTAGATTGCATGCCTTCCTCTTTCCTGATTAGGAAAGGGTCTCCACTCGTTCAAGGGTCTCCACTCGTTCAAGAAATTGCATGCCTATTTTGTGCCAGGCCTGGGGCTAATGTTGGGGATACAGTGATGTGGGAATGGGCACTGTCTGTCCTCACAGGGGCTGGTGTTCAGATGGGGAGGCAGGCAATTGCATGACTGTACACAAAGAAATTGAAAATTACAACTGTGATTTTGAGCTGTTTTTTTTTTTTTTTTTTGAGACAGAGTTTCACTGTGTTGCCCGGGCTAGAGTGCCGTGGCGTCAGCCTAGCTCACAGCAACCTCAAACTCCTGGGCTCAAGCGATCCTTCTGCCTCAGCCTCCCGAGTAGCTGGGACTACAGGCATGCGCCACCATGCCCGGCTAATTTTTTCTATATAGATTTTTAGTTGTCTAAATAATTTCTTTGTATTTTAGTAGAGACGGGGTCTCACTCTTGCTCAGGCTGGTCTCGAACTCCTGACCTTGAACGATCCACCCGCCTCGGCCTCCCAGAGTGCTAGGATTACAGGCGTGAGCCACCGCGCCCGACCCATCAAAGGGTTTTAAACATGGGAGTGACTACCACATAACAAGAAAGATGGAAGGGTATTTCGAAAGATTACTCTAGCTATTCTGTGGATAGAGGATGGGCAGGGTGGAGCCTAGAGACCAGAAGACCACGTGGACAAGACAAAAGAAGACAGCAGCCTGGACTAGGGAGTGGCAGGAGATCCAGGGGACAGATAAGAGAGATCTAGGGAGTAAAACCCACCAACATATATTTGGTGGCTCCAAGATTTCCTTGTACCTAGAGCTGGTTTTTGATAGGCCTGAGCTTCTGTACAACCTGTGCTACACCTCTGTGATGATTTTCTAGAATTTACTATGGTAATTAATGTTATTTCCCTTCCTAGATAGTCAACTCCTAAAGAGTAGGGTTGCCATGGGATGGAACTTTTCTTCCATACAAAGTTGCCCTGAAATCTATGCATATATTAGGTACTCACTTAATACATGTCTAATTATAAAGACTACCTAAGATTCTCCTGTACTTTTCCTTCCTTCTAAGCACTTATCACAATTGTAATTAAATAGTTATTCAGCTAGGGTGTGGTGGCTCATGCCCGTAATCCCAGCTCTTGGGAGGATCCCTTGAGCCCAGGAGTTCGAGACCAGCCTGGGCAATATAGCCAGACTCTCTACAGAAAAATTTTAAAAATTAGCTGTGTGTGTGGTGGAGTGCAGCCGTAGACCCAGCTCTTTGGGAGGCTGAGGCAGGAGGGTCGCTTGAGCCCAGGAGTTGGAGGCTGCAGTGAGCTATGATGGAGCCACCGCACTGCAGCCTGGGTTACAGAGTGAGACCTTATCTCAAAAATACAATTACAAAATAAAGTTTCAAACAAACATTTATACAGTGTTTATTGTGTGCCAGTCCCTGTTCTCATCACCTTAAACATATTAACACGTTTAATCTTCATAACGACTGCATTAGCTATATACTATTGATGTCCCCACTTCACTGACGAGGAAACCAAGGCACGGAGATTAACTTCTTAAGGGATTGTGTTTTATCAAATATAGATGGACATTCATTCTAAAACATCAGCCGGGTTCTGTCTGTGCCAGGAGCTGTGCCAGGCGCTGTGCCAGGCGCTGGGAACACAAGATAAAATCGTGGTTAATATTTTTTGAGTATACGTCAGGCTTGGCGTTAGGGTTTACATAATTTTATTTATAGACTCGTAATAACCTTGCGAGTTAGATATCCCTATATGGTTTGATCATTATAGGAATAAAGGTTTGGCGTGGTTCAGTAACTTGACAGACGTCACCGGCGGGTGGCCGCAGAGCGCGCGTTACAACAGTTCAATCCAGCCCCTGCCTTCCCCGGAAAACGCACCCGGCCCCGCCCCTCTGCCCGGGCTGACTCCGCCCCTCAGCCAGGGCCGACCACGCCCACGCCCCCTTCCGCGCCTGCGCGCCCCCCGCGCCAGCCCCCTTCTCGCCGCCGACGCGCCGCGCCGCGCGCCTGCGCACTGATTCCCCATGTGTGCTCGGGCTGTAAGCCGGCCGGGCTGAGCAGTGGCACGAAGACCCCTTGGCGGTAAGGTTCTGTCACCAGCTCCGCAGCCTTCTCCGCCTGTTGCTGCCCTCCTCTCTCGGCCTGTCCCCACAGCGCACATCGCCATGGGCAAGAGCCGGACGAAGCGCTTCAAGCGCCCTCAGTTCTCCCCTACAGGCGACTGTCAGGTCGAAGCTGCTACGGCGGCGAACGGGACAGGCGGCGAGGAGGACGACGGGCCGGAGGCGGAGTTGCTAGAAAAGGTGAGGCGGGAGCTCCGCCGGGCCCGCGGGGGTGGGGGACGGGGGGCCGGCGCAGAGCCCTCGGCGGCCCCCCGCGGCCCCGGCGCGCGTGCGCACTGCGCGCTCTCTGACACCTCGCTCCCGCCCACAGCTCCAGCACCCGAGCGCCGAGGTCCGCGAGTGCGCCTGCGCGGGGCTGGCCCGGCTGGTGCAGCAGAGGCCGGCGCTCCTGGGCCTGGCGCGCCGCGATGCGGTGCGCCGGCTCGGGCCGCTGCTGCTCGACCCCAGCCTGGCTGTCCGGGAGACGGCGGCCGGCGCGCTCAGGTGAGCCGGGGGCTTCGGAGCGGCGCCCACCGCGGCAGTCAGCGCTAGCCGTGTGCCAGACACTGTCGCGATCTCGCGTTCGTCCTCGGGCGCTTGTCCGCGATAGCTGGGAGGACGGGTAACCTGCCCCGGGACTCGCGTTTGCAGAAGGGGAGTTTTAACCCCATCTCCAGGCTCTAGAGGACCCCAGCACCCCGGGACCACTGGTATTCCACCTGTCCACTTGGCTGCTTCGCCTTTCACCTGCAGCAGTCACCTGCGAAGGCGTGGCTGGTGCATAGTTTATCCTCTCCAAGAACCCTTCATGGAGTCCCCTGGTTGGAGGAACTCTTCCAGTCCGTACCAGGAGTTGCTCTAGGTGCAGGGGATTTGGAATAGGCAGGACGTTGAGCAAGACAGCCAGGGTCCCTGTCTTGCAGAAGCTATGCCTATGGGGAGGCAGAAACTACTGAAAAAATAAAACATAGTATTAGATAGTGAGAATTGCTATGGAAAAATGAGATGGTGATGATTTGGGAGTGGGAAGTTTAAATTGGGTGCGGTATAGGTGATATTTATGAACCTGTCTCTGAAGGATGAGAGCGCCAGTCATGGGAAAATAGGGGAAGAGCATTCCCACAGAGGGAACAGCAACAGCGAAGAAGCAAGGCAGCAAATGGCTTGGCATGGTTAGGGAGCAGAAAGGCTAGCACGGCCGAGTAGAGTGGGGGTGGGGAGTAGAGTATGAGCTGAGGCTGGAGAGATGAGATGCACGAGGTGGAGGATGGTGTAGGGCTGAAGGACTTACGCTAAGCAGGAGAGTGACATCTACATTATCTTTTGAAATTTCCACTCTAGTGGCTGTGCAGAAAATGGACTGTAGAGGGGGCAAGAGTAGAAGTTAATATTTTTATTTCTCATAGCTCTATTTATTATTTAACGTTTCATCCATTGATTTAGCAAATATATAGCGAGTGCCTACTGTGTGCCAGGCACTGGGCTAGGCTGTGGGCATGGGATAGTGAGCAAGACAGATAAAATTTGTGTCCTTAATCTTAGAGTCTATTGAGGGACACAAACATTAACCAAATAATCACATAAGTGTATAATTACAACCAATGGTAATCACAAAGGACGCTATGAGAGGGTATAAATGGAGGTTCAGAGAAGGAAACCCTGAGTGAGTGGTATTTGAAGTGAGAGCTGAGGTGTGAGTGGGGATTAACCGCTTGGTGGAGGAGGGTTAGACATCCTTCTACTACTGAGGAGGAAACAGCATGTGGGAAGTTCTACTCTTGCCCAAAAAACATACACAAACTGGGAGCTCCTGGAAGATTGTGGGGGCATGTTCTTACTTACCTCCGTATCCTTAGAGCCTAGCACAGTGCTGTGCACTCAGAAGGCGGTGTCTTTCCAATAAAATTAAATTTAGCCAGGGCTGCTTTAGGCAGTCATTCTCAGTAGCCTCGCCTTGCTGCCCTTGCAGTCTTGATGCCAAGAAAAGGTCCCTTCATACACGACGTGATTTATTCATATCGGATGAGGAAAGTCTTCTCCCCTCTCCCTTTCCAGTGGCCATGCACCTGTACCGTCTCCGGCCTCAGAACTAAGTTGTTACATGACAAAGTCCTTTTTTTTTTTTTTACATCTTGTACAACAAGGATCAGAACAGGTGGAAATCTTGTGGGTTGGTTCCTCAGCGTATGACAGAAATAATCAGCGATTTCCTCTGAGAAACCTTAAGTATGGTTAAAAATAGAAATAAATTTGAGAGTTTAATTGCGCTTTCTGACATGAAAGTAAAACATGTTTTAAACTTCTTGTGTAGAAATCTGAGTGCTTGTGGAGGTTTTGAAGTTTGTGATGACATGGTGACTAAGGATGTCATGACTCCCCTGGTTGCACTGCTAAAAGAGGTATGCAGTTTACAAAGTATCTTGATGGCAGCTTCCAAATGTAGCTTTTAGGATGCACACTTAGGCCTTTTTTTAGTACTTTGGTGTTAGTTGCTTTTGTCTTCTCTTAAAACATTGTGTGGGAATTTCATTTCTTTTCTTGGAAACATAGCTCTACTCTCATTGATACCAATCTCTATTTTGTATCCACTGCCTTTATTTATATGATAGTTGAAAAAGACCTTCCTAAAAGTATACATACTAAGTCCTTTAGACTTTAAATTTCTTACAGTGAAAATAATTTAGTACTTATTGATTGCTTATTTATGTGTCAGGTACTATTTTTATGTTTTGCATGTTATTTCATCCTGTCCTTACAGTATCCCATGAAGCAGGTATTATTCCCATTTTAAAAATGATGAAGCTGGGGCCGAGACATAAGGAACTTGTCATGACGATTGCATTAAGTTCTCATACTTAATATCACGCCAGTCTCACTGCGTGATACACTTAAGGGGTTAAGGAGCTCGCTCTCTCTGATGTGTTTCTGGTCCACTATTCTGTATTGATGGGTAATTATCACTTAAAGCTATATAAATGATATCCAGTTTTGATAAGAGGCGTCAGTCCTGTTCTTTTTAGAGCAGTGATTCTCAGCTGGCTGTGATTTTGCTCTATAGGGGATATTTGGCAGTATCTGGAGACATCTTTGGTTGTTAGAGAGCTTGGGGGTAAGGGTTGCCACTGGCATCCAGTGGGTAGACACCAAGGATACTGCTAAATATCCCACAGTGCACACACACAAAAAATTATCTGGTCCACAGCGTTACTAGTACCTAGATTGCAAAGCCCTGCTTTAGAGGCTGCCCTGGGCTATACTAGAGGGGCTTAACAGTACCAGCTTTGGAGCCAGAATGCCTGGATCTGAATCCAGCTTCACCACATACTAAGCTATTCGTTCAGCAACCTCCCTGTACCTCAGTTTCCTATTTGTAGCTGGAGATTGGGGATAATAGTTCATCTACCTCATAGGTTTGTTGTGGAGTTTAAATGAGTTAATATATGTAAAGTGCTTAGAATAGTGCCTTAGAAGGCGCTATCTAGATGTTAGCTTTTATTTTATCTTTCTTTGCCTTCTTTACTATCTTTTATTACATTAGGTAAAATACTTTGTATTGACTTTTTGCTTTGATTTGAAATGTGGAATGCTTCATAATCCAGTTTTCACGGTGATTTGAGGACCTTTCTTGTCTGTATTTCTTGCCAAAAGGGAAGCAGGGTTGTGGGAATTGCACTGCTTATGAGAATTTGATTGGCTTGTTAACTACTATAATTTCTGATGTTTAGTTTTTTGATTCATCACTATCATTAGCCTTTTTGTTTAGTTATTCTTTTGAGCCAGGGTGCTAATCATGATGTTTGGTTACAGTGTAGTTCTGGACTGGATTCAAATGAGACGTCGCCACAGGAGAAAAAAGATCAGAACGGAAACTCTATTGAGAACATAGCCAATGAGGCTGTGAACATACTGTGGAATATATGGTAAGATGCTTTCCAAACACAGCCTCCTGCTACACACTTCTCGGGCTGCTGCTCTTTCTGTTAAACTGCGTAGGAATCTCTGTTCCCCTCGGTAGGCCTGTGAATCGGTGATGTTAATACTTGGTGGGAGGTAGTGTCAGGTGACCTAAGATCACCCCTCCTTCCCAGGCCCTTTTCCTCAAGGCATCACTACATCTTTTGTTTTTTGATTGTTTGTTTGTTTTAGATCTCATCTCTCCAGGCATTGCTACTGACAAAAATAAGAGGAATCATGACCATTATCACCTACTGTTCCTCCTTTAGCCCCAGCTGCCTGCATGCCCTAAGCAGCATTTGTCTTTAAAGCTGATTAGACCCTGGTTTAGTAGTTGCTTTGTTTTGGCATCTGGAATGAGAAGGGGACACACAAAGGATTTAAGGAGGCAGTTACCATTTGCATGGAAGTGTACGCCTAAGTAGGAAGGCCCCATTAGGCAGAAGGCCACTTGTTCAGGTCATGATTGTAGCAGTGGTGGGGGTGGAGTTGACTTGCCGCTAGGAAGGAAAATGGCTAGAAACACAACCTGGGTTTACTTTTTTCTGCCCCATTTTATGTCCCACATTTCTAGGGAGATTCTGTCAGAGTTCCTTGTTTTCAGTCAGCAGCGATTATAATGGCTGACCCAAAAGCACAGGTGTTTCTTAGGCTACAAGATTAAGTTGGATCCAGAAAAGCTGCCTACATAGCAGTTTGAACTTTCCTGTGATTTCATTTTAAACTGGTGGATGCATTCCACCAGAAATACTGGAGAGATCAGATTTGAGGAAATAGCATTTGAGCAAACTGATGGATGCTCTTTTTGTGTGCATCAGATAACTTTAACTTACATAAACTGTTGGACTTGGAAATTAAGGTTTTTTCTCTGAAAAGAATCCGAATATGTCTCCAAGGTGATTTCTCTTTCCTGAGTGCCTGTGAGTCCTGTCTGTATCATTTATAGTTATCATAGTTCTTAACATTTTTGTTTCATAGTTTATATTTTAGGTTATCTTTGCACATGTATGCCTTATCTTCCTCACTGTGCTGTGGGATCCTTCAATGCACAGTAACTCAATATATAAAAAGATCGCAGACAGAAAACATTTTTCTTTAGATAACAAAGTTAAGTTAGTAATTTAGTCAGCTGTGTTAGCTAGTAGTGTGTCATGTGTATATGTGGTATATGTGGAGAAATACCTTTCTCTGGAAACATGGATAAATTATTATTAGGTTTATTTACACTGTATTTAGTGTCTATGCTTTTATTAATAACATTGATAGCTTTCTGAATCTTGTTAAAATGTAATGTAATTTCAAAAATAATTATTTATTATAGTAATTTCTCTGTTGCAGACTGAAAATTCTGCTTGATGAAATTATAACCAAGATTTAAAAGGAATGAATAAAATATGATTTTATAATATTTTCTTTTAAATTTGTGCTTTTTGTTTGATAAGTATGGAGGCCTTTTATCCTTACTCTAATTTATTATTGCTGTGGTATAGTGGAAAGAGAGAACCGTAGGCTGGAGCCGAGGAACCTAGACACTGGGCTGAGCTCTACTACTAAGAGAACGTGTGATCTTTGGGTGGATCGCTTCACCATTTGGGGCCTGATTCTCCTCATCTATAAAATGGGGAGTTGAATTAAATGATTTGTAAGATCCCTTCCAGGTCTAACGTTCTGTAAGGACACTGGCATAATGGTAAAGAGATTGGTTAAAATGGCCCACTGTGACAGAAATAAAATACAGATAGCCAGTTCTTCTCACGTACAGTGAGTAGGAATCGGCATTAGTTTCTTCATCTGTAAAAATGGTGGGTATTTGACTTGAACTCTCTGGTTAATAAAGCCTGATTTTTTTTTTATGGATTTCTATGGTTGATTTCTCAATGTTAAAATGTGAATAGTAAAACTTTTTTTTCCCCTTCAATTTAGTGAATGCAGTAGTAGAGCAGTATCTATATTCAACAAAGAAGGGTGTTTGGAGATTGTATTAAAGTATTTAAGTAGGTTTTCCACCAATGTTGACCTGGCTATTTCAGTAGGTAAGTGAAGAAAAGGTGATGATTTTTTAAGTATGTGTAGCCTTATTCAAAAATCTTTATTCAGACATAGTATGTTTATTCTGCAGGAGTGATTGTTTTTTTCTTATAGTATATAAATATGTAGCTGAGTTCTGTTTGTTCTGAATCTTTTAAAGTCTGTGATTAATACTTAATACAGTTTTCCTGCTTTTGGCTCTGGAAGGGGGAAGGGTAATTATGTGAGCATATTTGGTTTCTAGTCTGTTACCATTCTTAGAAGCTTTTATTAATTCTTGAAGTTTTCATCTCCATTTACTAAGAAACAGTAGCCTACAACTACCAGGCCTGTAAGCCAAAGTTAATTGGAATCTAGACTTA